ATTCATGTATGCATTTGTGCATCTTCTCTATGCACTTCTCGTATGTAGTCAGTCATTTTTAAGTGCAGGTGAATTTTATAGTTTAGTCTATATAAAATTATGTCGGATAGGAGAAGATAGCAAAGATTCTGTGGTAGGTAACGTTGTTATACATTGGATTTTTTTTTTATTATTTGCTGTTGTATTACATTAAAATTTATATTTACTGATATTCTGTCTTATTTTTATGGTGGTATATAAATTATTTTGAAGTCATTTACAAAAACATATTTTTACGCAGCGATACGAAACGCAAGTCAAGTAAACGCAAACTAGGAAACTGTATTATACGCTTTGGATACTCATCACTTAACCTTCGGTTTTTTTAATATCAGGATTTAGCTGAATAGTTATTCTTAGAAATGGCGTAAGCTCATTTAGTTTAGAAAATTAAAAGATTTTAATTTAAATTTTTTTTAAAGCTTATGTCACAAGTTGTTTTATAGAAGAAAGTCTTACATCGACTGAGTTAAAGTTGTATCCAATCGCCTAACCGCCTAAGTACATGTTCCCAAGTTTATATAGAATTCACATTGGCTGTCTTTAGCTCTTTGTTAAATAATAAAAATGGTACAAGTGTGGTTCCTCCAACAAGTGAATAACTAACTATTTTTGATGAATTGAAAATTTTTTCACCAAATCGGACCAAAAGTTAAATGATTTCGATGATTTTAACACTCTCGTCACTCGAACTTACTAACACCTTATGTCGAGGCGTCAACTGTCAGCATACGACTGTAAGGATTTTCCGTTAAGCAAAAAGTCCATTTAATAAAAGTCTCTCGTATGTCCTTTTCATAAACAACAACAAATATTTTTAAATTAAAAATGCCTTCAGTTCTTAATGGAATGGTTACAATGGAGCAGCAAATAAAAACTGAAAATATGACTCAATTGAATGTTAACTACATGTCCATGAATTTTATATTTTGTCCTAATCGATAGTTTAACTGCGGTTTTGCCACACCCTATTAAGTCAAATCAAAATAAAGTTAACTGTTTTTTAAGATATAATTCATTAATGCTATGCATGGGGAAACTTATTTATTTATATAAGTTTAAGTATTATTAATAAATAAATATATGTGTATATAGTATAATGAATGTCTACAAATGTATATTAAAAATTCTTAGGGTTTTCGAAACCGAAAATTTGTCAACCAAATAAGTACGGTTATAGGCATATAGGTACAAGTTGGAAATTTTATACATATAAATACTCACACATGAAATGGTACTAAAGAGGAAGACAATTTTAAGAAGACAATTAAGGCTATTATAATCAACCAAGAGCGTCCGTTAAGCATCCTACGTTACGCGTGATGCAACTCTATAAATAATCAAAGAGAGATCTAGTTTACGTCGTCCTGGAAGTCATACATAAACTTATACCACAAGTGATGTGGGATGTTGAAGATAACGTTAGCGAAATAAGCCAACAATAAGCGTTAAGCAGGGCGGCAAGAGTAGGAAGATAGGATTATTCTCGAATTACTTTTTTTTTCAAAATACGTTCAATAAAGAATTTTCAAGTGAACGTCAACATGGAGAAGAAGTATTTAATGACTTTTCCAGATATTCCGTTTCCGTTTTTACATGTACAGTAAAATTTAACATGTGTTTTTTTATTTCTTTATCTATTTTTCTTATATGTAATATGAATAAGAAACGTTTTCCCAATTAACAATAGTCGAACCTCAGACGAACTTCATTGGTTAAAATAATGAATTTTATTTATTTATTTTATTTATTCATTGAAGCCTATAATAGCAAATTACAATTACAAAGATGCAATAATAAGGTAAAACAATACAAAGTATTCTTAAGCAATCTAAAGGAAAGGAAAGGAAGATCGAAGTTAAAGACAACAGAAAAAAAATAAAAAACTCTTCATGGGACGATAAACTTCTAAGGCATAATTAAAGCTACGGCCACTCTAATTTTGATTTGAATAGGCATATAGGCGTTCAAAGAATAAAACTTCCTATGTAGGAAATTGATCCGAGAGCACTAGGAATTCATTTGTACATTCAAGCAGAACTTGATCATCGATAATCACCCCCAGGCAGTTCAAGCTATTTACAAGTGGTAGTCAGTTTTAGCTCCATATCCTTCCAAAAATATCAACACTTCCCGCACTCTATCTCTGTTGTGTGGTCTCCTTCCTATAGATGTTATGTACATTCGATTGAATTCTTTCAAACGCATTTCTTGGTGTTTGCCCTAAGGATTTTTGGTTGGGACCCATTTGTCTCTCTCCTTCCTTATAAAAATAAGTTGCTTTTGTTATCCTTACACTCACTTGGTGTTTTCCAATCAATTAATAGTGCTGTCGATACCCCCCCATTATTTTGCGAGATAAGCTTTAATGTCCGTAATTGCTTCTCTACGCACCTTAATTTTGATTAAGCTTAGTTAATGTAAATATAATTACGAGCTTTTTAATCCGTTCCGATTTGTTCGCAGAAGTCTAAATGATGTCTGTCACTTAATGTGAAAACAGGAAATATCTTTCAAGTCTATCAAAACAACTTTGCTGCAATCTTAACATCTCACTATGATTCGCAAATTAACTGTTATTGCCATCGGCTGGAAAGCTTTTGTATATTTGCAATGGTTTAGGGATTCATTTGCAACATGGGTCGGTACTGGTTACCACTCTCTGTGCTAGTTGAGTACATGCTTTGTTTCCTTTTTTTTTCTTTTTTATTTATTTATACACAAATTTTTTGTTTTTTCTTTACTTGATGTAAACTTTGTATTAGTTCTTCATAATAATTCTATTGACTTCTAAAAGGCAATTGAATTCGGCTGTTGACTTATTTTATTTGAGTTTCATGTGTAAATAAACGAATAAGTAAATAGATAAATATATAAAAAATAAAATCTGCAAATCATCAGCAAAAGCCTTACATGAAGCTAGGTTAAGCATATTACAGAAATCATTCATTAGCACGGTGTAGAGCAAAGCCAAAATATGATTTATATGATTTACATTTGATTGAAGAAGGTTTCGTTAGTTACCCTTACCTTTAAGTAAGCGCTCATTAAGTGCTAATCACCATTTGCTAATTGTTCACTGTACGCCAACAATTGTTCGCTGACAAAGAGACTTAAAGTTGTAAACTAATTGCATTCGCTTAAATCAATTAAAACGTTGCATTACTTTACATAAATTTACTACATATTCATAACTATTTCATAAGCAAACTCATTCTAAATAAAATTTCCATGCGCACATTAACACTATTGCTTATCTTACCCAAATGCTTTTTTTAAGCAAGATTGACTATGCTTTGATAATTTATGGCAATAGCTGCAAATCTAATATTAACATCCTTAAACCGGTCTATCACCAAGCCCTAAGAGCAAGTTGCTATGCTTTTCGGACGACGCCCATAAATAATATTATAATTGAGACTGGTCTCCCAACTTTAGATAATAGACTTGATGAGTTAAAAGCTAAAATAGTCCCCAAGTTTCTTAATTCAAACGAATCTATTCTCGGTGACGTGAGAAAGTTATTATGGCGAAGAAAATTCACAAGTCACCATCGTTTGTACGTCGCAAAAGGATATGGCCATCACCTTAAAAATTATTCGATACTTTGGTGTTAAACCTCCATGGATTTTGAAAGACTTCTCTTTTGCCATTTCGCTGTCTATGCACAAGAAAGAAAATACTTCAAATTATGTGTTCAGGAATCTAATAGCTAAAAAAACCTTTGGAGAGTTCCGATTGGAAACTTTTATACTGCCGCCTGCTTGTTCCGTGGTAGATGCTTCAGGACTGGTTCTTCTCAATCACATATATAACGAAAGTACTTTAACTTTCACACCCGATGCCAGAGCTATCCTTCACGCTGTCAACCTTTCTCATAAAGACAATCTCAAAACCGTCATTATTCGACTTCGCCGACTTCAAAATGGCGCACATTCAACAAATTAAGGAATATCATTACAACACCCAGTGGCAAAATAAAAATATCATATTGATTTATTGGGAAATGAGCGGGCTGATCGAGCGACGAAGCATGCTGCTTCTGCATCTCTAGTTATGGATGATGTCGTGGAAAAATTGGATCTGCAAAGGTACATTGGAAAAAAACTTAAAGAGAAAATTAGAGAAGGAAATCTAAAATCCCATCATCAGTACGGCTCAATTAACTCAACCTTTGTATCCATAAAATGTTGAGAAAACGAACATTTTCGAGAACTCGCCTTAGTCATACAATTGCAACCCACCAATGGATCTTGAAGAAGTCTTCCTTCCCAATCTGCAGTTGTGGACAAATTCTCACTATAAAGCACATTCTCTGTGACTGCCTTAACTTTTCCTTGGCTACAAGTATTGCATTTGGAACGATTAACCCTCTGGACATTCTAAAATCAGCTACAGGCTCCATATCTACTACACATTTATGTAAATTAGAGCCGATAGCCTGTGTTGCCAGTGCTCAATGTTTTTTTTTTAGTCTAAGAATTTATTTCATTAGTCTAAAATGATGATAATAATAATAATAAATAAAATTTCAAATGTCAATCATATATTCGTAAACGAAGAAACACAATGTATGTCGTACAGAATATATATAATACACGCATACCTGCTTAAATATATAATAAATAAATGTTGATAGCGTTGAGAAACCCTACTCACACATTCAGTAAGCAATAGCGTACAAGTATATCTGATAATTGACAACACCCGCCGAACGCAAATAAAATATTGCATAAGCATTCTTACAACTCAAGTTACTTTTCAATAATTTTGAAAAAGTTTTAAAATTTCAAACTTCAAATTCAGTATAACCGCAAACACATGTACACATTGCTTGACTTAAAATTATGTACGTAATAATAAAATGGTACTAGAATGTTCTGAAAACTAAAATTCGTGAAAAAAAAAAACCAAAACAATTCAAATCCAAAGAACTGAACTAATTTTATCAGAATTACAAAATGTTACTTCGACTTGCTGTTACACTCCCTAAGCGCTTGGTAAGTGCTAGCATCAGCGTTTCATCGTCAACTCTAAGAACTGAAATCAAAGAGGTGCAAAGTTTAAAAGAAAGCTTGAAGGAGCCACCATCAGAGAGTGCTTTTCCAATGCACGAAGCTGCATCCGCTCGGCAAGCCAGCATTGACTTAGGCGCTTCGTGTTGTTGCAATTTGCGTCTGAGCCGTCAAGTTAGCATGCAAGACAATGCATTACTACGACGTCAAGACATTACGGGTCGCTTGTGTAACATCTGCGGCTACTTTGGTGCCTCCTGTGTTGCAGTTCCCCGTACCCCAGGTCTTTTGAACTTGACCTCTAAAATAGATCAGCGCCGTCTGTACAGCACAAGCGCCACCAAAACCCCAAACACCAATTTGCAATTATTGGCCGAAGAAAAAAAGGAGAAACGTTATTTCACAAATCCGTTTCCTGATTATGTAGATCCCCGGAGTACACCGTATGAATTCGATGAAAAACATGTCAAAAATCTTATTGCCATATATGTAGATGATGTTCTGGAAAAGTGTAGTCCTGGTTACGATGATGAGGAAATACGCGGTGATTTATATATAGGCAGTGCCGGCATTGCTTACATGTTTTGGAAAATGTCTCGGTCGTTACAGACACAAGATTTATATCCGGCTTTGAAGCATGCTCATGATTTCATAAGCAATGCCAAAGCGAATACGCATCGTTATAGGAAACCTTCTGCCGAGCCTTTCTCGTTTTTGTACGGCAATGCAGGCATTTATGCCGTATCGGCAGCTGTATCTCACGATCTAAAATTAATGCAAGACCTAAGTGACGATTTGATGAACTTCAAAGCGGGTATTACATCTAGCAAGGAGCTTTCGCCAACCCAATATGGTTGGGACGAAATGTTGTTAGGTCGTGCTGGCTACTTGGCTGGCTGTTATTGGTTGAATGATATAATGCCGGGAAAAGAAGTTACCGATGATGATTTAATTTCCATTTGTCAACTGATTATAGCTAATGGTCGGGGATATGCCGAACAAATTAAAGCGCCTTTGCCTCTATTGTATCAATGGCGTGGCAGAGAATATTTGGGAGCCGCTCATGGTCTTTGTGCTATCTTACATATGCTTTTAGAGAGCCCTTGGTTTAGAACAGATCCAATATCCGCTCCAAGTGCTGAACTGACGGATATTAAAAAGTCCGTTGATTACTTTTTAGCTTTACAAGATGACGAGGGCAACTTCCCAGTAGCATTAGAGACTTTGGAAAGTGATCGTGAGACGCGTTTGGTACATTGGTGTCATGGTGCACCGGGAGCCGTTTATTTGCTAGCCAAAGCTTATCTCATTTTCAAGGAGGACAAGTACATACAAGCCTTACGGCGTTCGTCTGATTTAGTATGGAATAAGGGTTTCTTACGTAAAGGTCCCGGCATTTGTCATGGTGTAGCTGGTAATGGTTATGTATTCCTGCTGCTGTATCGTTTAACACATGAACCTAAATATTTATATCGGGCAGTCAAATACATGGAATTATTGACCAGCGTGGAATTTAAGCAACGGGCCCGTATACCAAATTGCCCCCATAGCTTATTCGAAGGTGTAGCAGGCACGGTCTGTTTTCTAATTGATCTGCTTAATCCCAAACAAGCACAGTTTCCCTTTATGGATGTTTTCCACTAGTCGACTACATTAAACAGTAGGAACAGATTCAAAAGGAGCTCGTTAACTCTGGAATGCATAATAACAACACACTACTCAAAAACATAAAGCGGGGAATCATCTCATAAGACCGTTTCAACAAAACTTATGTATTATGTAATAATTTTTTCTTGTTGTTGATTCATGTATTTTAATTAACTTCCAATCTCAAACATGAACTGATGGGCATTCTTTTCTATCCGAATTATTTTACACATGTAAATATCTGGAAACTTACAAACATACAAGCGTATACACCTGCATGTATTTAGGTATATATAATATGCTTTACTTCTGCAATATTGGTAAACGCTTTACTCGACAATTCGTTTCATTACGTTTCGATGATAGAGAAAAAGAAAAAAAGATCTAAAATGAAAATAAAATAAACTGGAGGACGTAATTTAATCCAGTCATCAATTTTAATATTAAACCTAGAAGCGAATAAAAAATTGTAAGGACCAAATTTTTATAACGGCGAGAAACTTTTCATACCAAGGTGGCCACGGCTCGTCTGTGATCTCAATAAAAAGACAAGTATTCGATAAAGAAAGAAAAAGAAGGAAAACTAATCATTTTAAATAATATAACGTTGACTCTAGTTCGACATAGAAGTTGATGTAAGAAATTCGAAGTCGACATAGGAGCGAGATTGGCTAATAAAAAATAAAAAAAATAGCGAAATACTTCTCATTGCGGTCCGCAGCGCTTACGACACTGCACGAGTACACATAACCAAAGATATATGGGCCCATACTATGGTGGAAGGGGCAATAATTGTTGATTTATTTATGGCAGTCAACACATTTTGAAGTAAGTTGACTTAAAGTGAATTTTGACAAGTTTAAAATTAGCAAAAGATTTCATGATAATAACCGTAATGGACGTAGTTGATGCACTATAGGTTAAGTGTATATGTATTCAAGTTTCATAGTTATCACTGCATATATTAAAAATATATTTAAAATAAATTCCATTAAATAGAATCATTTTTTTTCTATTCTCAATGAAAAGGGTAATTGGATCATTGGGATTTCAATGTAAGAATGAAAGAATTGTTTCTCTAGTACTGACATCAAGAGAAGAGAAACCTCCTTCCATTGATCCCCAATATTCTAATTAAAAGTAGGCCCATACTTCTTATGTTTTCTCTAATGGCTTCTTGAAGTTTTGACGCTAGATGAATAAAGTTTGTTCGGACGGTGAAGTAAAAGAATTTTCGAAAAGAACCTGAGACGCTCAGAGTAAGCTTACAACGCATTGTAGCTCTCGAATTGAGATTTAATTCTAAATGAGTTGAAAGAAATTGTATAAAAAACTAAATTTCGAAATATGTCTTCTAATAATAATTTGTAGTGCGAAGTTGTAAAGTATTGATGTAATGACAATGCTAATCAAGAAGAATGCCACCATCAATTCTGTTCAAACATCATCTATACCACAGCCATCGTTTATATAACGCGAAAGAGTAACAAATAATATTAATTCATCATGCCACTGGATAGATTCGACTCATGGTCAATTTAAGGCTTAATCTTTTATACAAGAGTAACTTTCAACACAATTGCAGAGAATAGTCAAATATAACGTTAAAGAGCTGAAAAGTGCTGAAAGTCTTTGTCTTATTTTTAATCCTGTGATTCGTTGGCAACAAAACTATTCATTGGATATTTCACATTTTATTTCATATTTTAAAAATCGAATTCAACATTTTTTTTCAAAATATCTTGGCACGTACAATCAATATCTCTTCCCTACAATGCAAACATCGGACAATTAAAAATTCCCCCAACAATGAAAAACTATTTTATACATTCTTATACCTGTATACATAAACATGAATGCCCGTCCGCACGCACAACTTTCAAATATCTATAGAAAAACATAAGAAATTTTCTGATTGTGTTGGTGTTGATTCTGTCTTCTGCGCTGCTTATCAGGTACTAAAAGCATATAGTGCAGTATTTGGCTACACCCGTTGATAATGAAATGCAAATAATATAAATGGCAGACCAACTTTTCAGATCTGCAAATAAACTAATGGAATATTAAACTCAGTATTGCCATTGTTTAGACAATTCGCCTCTGAACGCCATACGTTAACATGGTCACGGGATGTTTTTAAACATGGTCGCGGGATATTTTTATGGTCGCAGTGGATTGAAAATGATAACTAATTTATTTTCTGTTTTTGGCACAACAAATCAAAAGAAAGACGAAAGTATTGTTCTAATATATTGTACGAATGCAAGTTGACTGATCAAAATTGTGCCTGCAAAATGTTGGTGTGATCGCTCTCATCTTCTTTTTCGAATACAATATCCGTAATCTCTTTGAAAATAACCTACGAGAGTCTGACCTGGCAACCGCTTATGGGAAGCTGCGATTGTTCACAGTGAACACAAGTCTCACTCAAAATCAGCAGATTACCCAGTCGATGCGACACTCGTCTAAAATCGATTGATGATCATCAACTCTTTTCTCTTTTCCTTCATTAAGCTGACATTTGGGCTTTGCCATCTTGCGGTTTGGAAATTTCGTTTACTTCTAAACTGGTGTTATAAAATACAAATGATATATGAGAAGGATATCCGGCTCAACAAAACAATTGCTTACATCAAATTCTCTCCGCTGTGGGCGCTGCTAGCGCGGCTACCATTCAATCATTATTTATCATTCACAAAGCGTCTGCTGTGTTTTCTGCTTTTTTCGTTCGGCAAAGTGGGTGTGTAACATTCTTTTTGAAGCAGCATACCCTAGGCTTTGATGTAGTTCGTAAAAAAATCCATTGCAGTTACGATCCCAAAGGTCAATTCTTTCGCAAACTCCTTTGGCTAAGTTTCTTTCTTGGGAAATCAAGCGTAACTTCAGCTGTATGACATCTAAGGCTATTCCGCTGAAGAAAGCACGTATTTTTCAATATCAAACAGTTGGAAATTATTGCCTGACGAAATCCCATATCGTGCTGGATATTTTCGCATCTGAAAGCACATAAAGCCATATATTTGAAACTCGAAATTCCAGTTTTAAGAAGTATCGCTCCCAATTGAAGTTCCTTTGCATGAAGTCTAGATCCAATTAATTGGCTTTGGTCCTCGTCGACCTTCTTGTTAAATGCAAAAGGGCCTTTATATCATTCCAAATTTAGAAAAGAGAAGTGCCTGCAATTTATTATTGTTTATTATTGGGGGAAAAACGATTAAGAGGAAATGCCGATATTTATCTTTAATTGAAATTCGCGTAAGCAAGACTTTAATTTTTGTTAAGTACAGATTTTGAAGAATCTCAACAGTTTTCTAGTTTTCCCGCTAAATTATCGCGAAGAGGCCTGTGTACATTAATAATTACTCAACATTTTCTGTTATTCAGATAAATGTTATTTATTGGACAACAGGTTGGATAGTTCTGTTAGACCTATAGGTGAAGTAAACTCAATTCAAACCTGAATTGTGTTCATTGCTAACTAAATTAACTGTACACACGATAATATTTTTCATTTCTGCTTTTTTTTTTAATATGACCATGGGATGTCTTGTATAGTCGGCTGCCCTTCAAAGAGCTGGGCATAATGATTTTTTCGATTCATTTAAAGTAGCGGAAAGCTACTTCAAAGGTAGCTTATGATTGGTTAGGATTGGTTTACCACCTACAACTGTTACTGTTACGTCTTTTTAATCGGTTCATTAGTCATTAAAGAATTTTAATGAAAATTAAGATCGCTTATGATCCTGCACTTGATTTTATGGAAAAGTGTTCATATCACGGAAATATTTCTGCATAGTTTTCCCAAAATTACGTTCAAGTTAACTATTTTAACCATGGCATCACTAAATTTAAGAAATCACATAATGTCTCCCCATTGTTTTAAGATATTTAGATATGCTTTCTATTAAGCATTACTTCGTTGAGTACTCTTTCCAACAGCACGGCTTGAATTGATAAACTATGGGCTTGCCACAATTGTATCCAAAGAAAATCGTATTTCTCCACGTAACGTAAGCATAAGATTTGAAATGAGACACAACCCACCACTAAAGACTGCACCACTCTACACTTATTCGTCTAACGACTTTTTAAAATAGTACACTATATGCAAAGTGGTCGAAGAAAAGGTTCGATGCAAACCGTTTCCTACAGCGTTCGTCCTTGGGCCGAAATACGTCGGTGTAGCAAATTTCAGCAAAATACCTCAAAAATTAAGGCCTGTAGGTTGAACACAAAAGAACCAGAAGGACAGACAAGCTTAGATCGATTCAAAACGTGATTATGATTTGGTTTTGGTTTTTATTTATTTATTTATTTTAATTCTACTTATGCTAGAAACTCAACTAAACAAATAACAGTCGAGTTCAATTAGCTCATAATGCAAAACTTATATTAATCAATAATACAACCAGTACAGGACCAAATTGCAAATGAACCCCTAAGCCATCGCAAACGTGCATAAGCCTGGCAACCGATAAAATTAACAATAATTCATTTTCAGTCGTTCAGTAACGACTTTTTAAGGATAAAAGCTAGTTTAAGTACGACATAGGTAAATCGCGCGTATTAAGCAATGCTGCTTTAATGGACTTTAAAGAGTCCGATAACGAGAATAAGTGGTAGACGTCATTTAGGTTCTTGCAAACGACTCTGAGCGGATTAAACAGCTCATACTTAAATTTACACTGACTAAGCTTAACCAAGATAAAGTGCCTAGAGAAGCGGTTAGGGACATTAAAGCTTATTTCACCAAGTAATGGCCGATAGATTTAATAAAAGTAAGGTCTATCCCAAGTGCTTCTAGGTGTTGCGTAAACGCATACGAACTCAGTGTGCCCTTGTAGCACAAGTGGGGCAAAGTATAAAAAAATAATTGTACATATTAACATATGTATAGTGTATATAGTATGCATCGGTATAAATGTCAATAAATATTTTCATCAGCGATTCGCTTGATTGATATCTTCGAATGGCAAATCATTATTTTCGTGTATTTA